GAAGCTTTCTGGTTTACGCAAGTTCATAGTCACGTAGATCTTTGATAAAACCAACACAGGTAATTGGCAGATGTGAGAGGCAGGCTTAGAGCTGCAGCAATTTTTAGAAATCACTGTTCTACTGCTCCTGTCTCGGATGTCTATGCACTTTCAACGTGCGATGATATTAGAGCTTTAATGATTTAAAATATAGGAAATACTAGTGGGAGAGCGGCACCTGATGCACCCCAATTAAGAAGTCAAACTGTTTTGAAACTTACAATGGGTGGTGCCAGGACAACCTTTGTACCAAAGGCACTACACTATACTGTAGTGGTTATGGTGCATTGAGTATTCTTTTTATTATTTGAACTCTGAATTCTTTACTAAAAATGCAACTAATTAATTTTAAATGCTATGTCAGACTGTTCAGATTTTCTAGGCAGTTCATACCATTTCTATTTTATTCATCTTTATGGTAAACCTTTTCTTGTGTCTTCTCTGTGCAGTTCCATTGCACGATGTTAAAAACAGGTCATCAGAGAACTGTTTTATTAGTCCTGCCTATGTTTGTATATTATTATCATATCTCGTCAGAGATACCTTTTTAGGTGCTCGACCTCCCAAAATATTTAATATCACTTAGTAACAGCATACAAATGCGTTGTATTGTTTTGTACTTGCAGAGATTTACTCGTGTTGTTTGTACCTGGGATTCATATCCCATAAAACACTTTCTGTATTTAAGTTGTAATCTAGGTTTCTCTTGGCTAAGGAGCAAGGCACACACAATTCAATTCACATAACATCAGTCATCAATCTATTGTGAATCTTATACCCACCCCAAATAAATTTGCACTTAGTAGAAAATAAAGAAGAAAATTAAACCATTTTGGGGCATGTAGCAAAGTATAAATGTGTGTAGAACACGTTTTCTATTTTAGTTAGAACACCAAGAGCTCCTGTGATAGCCCTGCGAATCAATAGATATTGTATGGATAAGATACTTAAGGTTTAACACTAAGCAATATTGCCACTACAGATATAGTAGGTACAAAGAGTCTCTGAGATGCTAAGGACTACCCCTACAACAGCTAGTTCTAATAGCTGTTGTCTTAATTAACAAAAAGCAAATGTTATCTTTCATTAGAATTCTTTACTCTAACCAAACATTTGGCGATAACCAATTATTTCCTGTGCTACAAGCAAAAAAAAGATAAAAGAGGCTTCTGAACTCAAAGAATTATATTACATCAAACATAGTCTACAAAATACCTGCACAAATAAAGAAGTAACAACAGTAAATACAAATTATTAACTCAGCTTTATTATTGCAGGATTTCACCAATACTTAAAGGAACACTATAGTCACCTAAATTACTTTAGATAAATAAAGCAGTTTTAGTGTATAGATCATCCCCCTGAAATTTCACTGCTCAATTCACTGTCATTTAGGAGTTAAATCACTTTGTTTCTGTTCATGCAGTCCTAGCCACACCTCCCCTGGCTATGATTGACCGAACCTGCATGAAAAACTGGTTTCACATTCAAACAGATGTAATTTACCTTAAATAATTGTATCTCAATCTCTAAATTGAACTTTAATCACATACAGGAGGCTCTTGCAGGGTCTAGCAAGCTATTAACATAGCAGGGGATAAGAAAATCTTAATTAAACAGAACTTGCAATAAGGAAAGCCTAAATAGGGCTCTCTTTACAGGAAGTGTTTATGGAAGGCTGTGCAAGTCACATGCAGGGAGGTGTGACTAGAGTTCATAAACAAAGGGATTTAACTCCTAAATGGCAGAGGATTGAGCAGTGAGGCTGCAGGGGCATGTTCTATACACCAAAACTGCTTCATTAAGCTAAAGTTGTTCAGGTGACTATAGTGTCCCTTTAATTAGGACCACTGTATTTTTCCAAAGCACTCATGTCATAGAAAGAGTTTCCCTGGACTGCCTAAGGAAGGGAAAACATGACTGCTGCCCAGAAATGGGGGATGGATTAAGAAGAGATACAATGTAGCAATAAGGGGAATTAGATATAAGGGAGACTGGGGTTGGGCACTTGCCACTCAGAAGGAAGGAGTATTACTGACAGGAGCTTTTAGTTATACAAATTCTAATAGTAGTAGCTTTACCTTAAAAAAAAAAAGAAGAATTAAGTCACCAATTCCTTCCTCACCGTTCCAGCATTGGTGGCAGTTTCGCGGGAGACAATGCTGGAAATTCTGCAGGTGTACCTGGTGGCAAATGGCACCCGGTCCTTGGCGGAGGTGATGGCCGGTTTGCAGGGGACCAGTGACGGGGATGCAGTGGTGGAGCCCGGACAGGCATATGATGGCGGTAGGAGGCCCAAGTGATCCAGACCTCCTACGCGATGTGTCACCTTACCTACCCTGGCTGCTGGCTGGCGGCTGCGGCCTGAAGTGGTGGACGGTCGGCGGGCTCAAGATGGCGGCAGAAGGACAGAGCACTCCAGGAGTCCAGCGTTTCTTCCAGTAAGGCAGGAACTGACGTCAGAGCGCGCCTGTCACGCGGGAAGACAAACGTCAGTGGAGGCGACGCGGGGCGCGTACGTGATGTCAGCGCGCTGGAACATGCCAACGTCACAGGCCCCGCCATCTTTTAATCTGGCAGAACGGTCTGGAGAGCTGGGCTGCCGGGAGGCTGGCCTGGAAAGTATCCGGGAGTCGTGAAGTGAGCGGTGAGCGGTCGGCTCAGGAGGTTGGGTGATGGTGGCTTCGGCAGTGGTCAGCCGGAAGAAACGGATGATGGCGGCCTGTGGAGGGGTCGGTTGTGGCCAGAAGAGAAGCCAGCCATGAGAGAGGAGGACAGCTTGGAGGAGCAGGAGGAGCAGCTGGAGGACCGGGTGCCTGGCAGCCTTCCTGTGTCTGGTGAGTCAGCCTGCACAGGCGCTTGGGGCAGTTTGGGTGCAAGACTAGGGGGTCCCAGGGAGACACAGGGGGAAGTTTTGCGCTTGCTCAGGGCATAAGTTGCAGGGATGCCAGGGGCAGCACAAAGGGGGGCCCCATCATTGTTTGGTTACTTAGATCTCATTTGGGGGGCTTATAAAATATATGGTGGGCAATGCTGGTTCCGGTATGACCAGCAATTTCGGCAGAAAATGGCAGTGTGCCCAGGGTTGGATTTTGGGACGCAGGATGGCAGTCTCTGGCTGCTCCTGATGACCCTCAGTTGTCCATCGCCCTTTCAGGGTGCAGCCGGCGGCCAGGCAACAGCGGGGGGTTTGTTGGCTCTTCAACGAGAACCACTGTAGGTGGTATAGTTCCTGCTGCTTCCAACACAAGTGCTCACATTGTGGAGGAGCACATCCTGCGGAGCGCGGTTTCAAAAAAGGAAAACAGGTGCCCCCAAAAGGGGGGGTTGCGGATACTGCATCGAAAGGCCTGAATCCCGGTGAACGTGGTAAGGATGGCGCCATGGCTTGCACAGTATCCTAAGTGGTGGGAGGCGTTGCTGTTGGTAGACAGTTTTTCCGCAGGGTTTTGGATTCCTTTTGTCCCCTCGTCGGAGCAGTGTTTTGCTACCATTTTGCGTTCGGTTCAGGGCAGGGAAGGGATATTGTGGGAAAAACTGGAAAAAGAAGTTTGATTGGGGAGGATGGCGGGGCCGTTTGACTGCTCTCCATTTGAGAATCTCTGTGTGTCGCCGTTGGGTTTGGTCCCCAAGAAGGAGGAGGAGGTTTATCGCATGATTCACCATTTATCGTATCCAGCAGGTGAGTCGTTTAATATCTCCAGGGCCAGTGGATCTTATGTGACATCTGACCTTCCTGGAGCTTTTCCTGATTGTGGTCACTAATGAGTTGTGGGGTGAGGATTTGCGGGACAGAACGGTTGATTTCCACACGGACAACATGAGCGTTGTCCATGTGATCAATTGTTCGTCGTCAGCATCGCCACCGGTGTTGGCGTTGCTGAGGCGCTTGGTCCTGTTGAGTTTGCAGTATAATGTGAGGGTTAGGTCGTGTCATGTGCCGGGGGTGCAAAATATAGTGGCTGATGCGTTTTCTCGGTTCCAGTGGAAGCGTTTCCGAGAGGCGGCACCGGAGGCGGGTCAGGTGGGGCAGTCTTTATGGGAGCTCAGTTCAGAAGATTGATGGGGCTGGTGGCGGAGTCGTTGTCGGCGTCCTTGTGGAAGGCATACTGAGCGATATGGTCCAAGTGGCTCGGGTTGGTGTCGGGGGGAAGGAGCCTGGCGTCGGACTCGGGGCGTTAACCCTGCTGTTTTTGGAAAACTTGTTGGAGGAGGGGCGATCATGTGCCGCAGCAGAGAAGGCCTTCTTGTTCAGTTTCCTGGGTTGGAGGGATCTTACCAGGGAATTTAGCATCCAGAGAGTCCTGCGTCGGTGGGAGGGTTCTGGATCAGAGGAGGCCTATTTCGATGCAGCTTCTGTGGGAGCTCCTGGCGGTGTTGCGGAGGGTGTGTAGCTCGCAGTGTGAAGCGTTATTGTTCGGGGCTGCCTTTTCTTTTTGCTTCTTTGGGGCATTGCAAATAGGGGAAGTGGTGGCCGCGAGCCGGCTGGCAGAGTCGCCACTTCTGTTGTTGGACGTGAGGTGGGCGGTTGGAAGGGTGGACATTTAGATTCATAAATCCAAGACAGATCAAGTGGGTGAAGGTGCATGGGTGCGGATTGGTGCAGCAGGCGGAGAGTCTTGCCCGGTGCTTCTGTTTCAGAGATTCTTGGAGGTCCGCCCGACGGGAGGAGGTTCTCTGCTGGTGCATCAGGATGGATCTCCGTTGACGCGGTACCAGTTTTCCAAGGCCTTGTGGGAATCCCTGGTGGTGAGCGGCAGGAGCGCAGGCTAGTGGAATGGGTTTTTCATCGGCAGCGGTGCAGAGATTAAGTCGGTGGAGTTCTGGGAGGTTCCACTTGTACGTACGGCCTCATCTGTTATAGTGCTTAGTTAAACGCAAAATATCGTGGCTGATGCGTCAGTTCGCTTTCTAGTTTACAGTTTCTGTTTGTTTGTTCTAGGTTCTCCTCCCAGTTACGTGTGGATATTAGGGCACTCCTACATCTACTGGGCAGCGAGGCGGGTGGAGGAGCACCCTTCTGGTCGCAACTTGGGGTTTTCCTACGACCAAGCTCAGGTCCGATGGAGTGGCATTCGGGGTTTGTCATGGAGCCAGGTGTATCCAGAGTGCCGTTTCCTGAGCAGGTTTGTTCCCAGTTCGGTGATATTAGTCATTCATGCAGGGGGTAATGACCTGGGCCGGGTCCGGACAGTTGATCTAATTCATGGCATGAAGGATGATATTGCCCATTGTATGGCACTGTTTCGGGACGTGACGTTGGTGTAGTCGGAGGTGATCACCAGGCCCTTTTGGCAGCGATTGCCATATGCAAAAGGGCTGGAGCGCAACAGGCGCAAGCTGAACATGACAGTGGCGAGGTTTGTGCGTCAGCTCGGGGGCATCATGGAATTGGAGGGGGATAACGCCAAGTTGATGCGGGCCGATGAGATTCACTTAAGTCTAATAGGATTGAATATTTTCAATCGAGAAGGTGCTGGCGGCGGGGGGTGCGATGCCGAGGGAGGGCGAAGGAGGCCAGCATTGCGATGGCGGGATACCTGGCCAGCGCATGTGAAGGCAAGTGCCAAGTCGGATTGGGGAGTCGCAGCCTGCTTGGGATGAAGGCAGGCTGCTTTGGACTCTGGGAACAGAATGTGATACCTGTCTGGTGGAAGAATCACCCCCATCAGCTGACAGTTGGAAGTAATGCTGGTTAAAAATGTTAAATAAAGCTGTGGCAACTGCCCTTATCAACTATACAGGTGTTCTGTACTTATTGGGCAACGGGTGGGTTACGTGGATCAGCAGTCATGGTAAGCATTACCGTGTTCCTGGCTTGATTGAGCATTACAACATTCAATGAAATAAAGTTAAGCCTCAGGTATTCTTATTTTATAGATTGCCATGGAGATACAACCACAAAGGACAATTAGGCCAGGTGTGTCTGAATGCAATGCACGTCCTATATTTAAAGGTTCCATGTTCCTGATCACACAGTTTCCATTGGTACTTTACACAGACGACAGTTAATTATTAGTGTTTGAACATGTTCAACACCAGGGAGGCAAGGTACTATGGAGAAAAAAAAGATCTTTGTAGTCACATTAAAGGAGCTAATTATAAAGTACTTGTAAAGTATTTATGGAAATATGTCCATCACTCAATAAAACTCTCTTCAGATCACAGAACACCTGTAACAGGATCTCAGGATCAAACCCAGCATTGGAATTAAACTATTTATCATTGGTTAAACCACCATTTAAAGTAGAACTCTAACTTACAGAGAAGTAATATTTCCTTGTTCCCTCACTCCAGTAAACTCGAAAGCAAAAAACTGTTGAGGGCATTTATCATTGATAAAGGGAAAGGGGTGCCGAAACATCTGTACATTGAATGTTCTCCGTATAAACTTAAGCTGCACTAGAGGGCCCCTATAACTAAACAGTGCCTTGTGGATGAATACTTTGAACTCAAGTAAACTCAATTATAGTGTTTACCGAGGTGAACAGAGCAGTGGATGCTCTAAAAAAAAATGCAAAGGGAAAGAACATACTCACTTCAGCTGCACTAATCCATTTCAGCTAGATTAGCGTCCATTGATGTCTTAGGTGCAAGTGTGCATGCCCACTGACAAATAAATGATCAGCCTATAATTTTAATGGTAGGTGTATTTTAACAGTGAGAGACAGAATAAAAAAAAAAATCTATAAAAATGCATGTCAAAAAAAGTTATAAATTGTTAATGTCTCAATGTAAGGTTTAATGACTATTTGCTATCTATTTTCTTCTATTTATTGGCTATGATTCAATATTTATGGTTTATGCCAAACATCAAAAGAAAACTGTAAAAAAAGACTTTTTTTCCCAGTAATAGTGAAAAATATTTTAACCCAAAGCTGATAAATTTAATGATGGAAATTGAATAAATGTGTCATGTATTTAATGTCTCAATGTAAGGTTTAATGACAAAAAATAGTCAAATTGTAAGGCTATTCGCTAAACCATGAACTGGCACATATTCACCAGAGAATTGCAAACTCTAGGCCAAAATGGCTCAATTGGAAATTTTCGCCAAGTCAACTAGGTATCGGGCTCAGCTATGCTGCCTTTAAATTTGCGCTTCCCTTGTGAATTTCTGATAACCTTGTCTAAGGTGATTTTTTTTTTTTTGTGACAAAAATTAGATTCTGTTTATGTAGAGACAGATAAATATAAGCCAAAGGAAGAAGACTAAATGAAGCATAGTACTGATTACTAAGCCTCAACTGTCACAGCTCTCTGACACTTGCAGGGTTATCCACTAAAGTAACAGTTCAAAGTGAATTTTAAAACGTTCAAATTTAAGGCTAACGGAGCCAAACTGGACAAATAGCATAATTTAGAGAACATTTCTGGTTCAGCTATTCTGACCTTAAATTTTAAATTCACTTTGAATTCTTACTTAGTGAGTGTGCAAGAGAGGTAACAATGTGCAAATGTTGTGCTCCTGATTGTCAGCAGCCTACACTTATTGATTAAATTACACGTGAACTTTACTCTGTGCTAATACAGACACTCTGGTAATTTGAACAGGCTGCTTGTACGGTGTGTTGTTTGATTTCAAGGTGGCGAACTGAGGTTCAAAGCAATGATCTTGTGTTCTTCCTTGTGCATTGTGTGTTTGACAAGTGAGAGAGAGGTAACAGAGATCGAATGTGCTATAGAAGTCAGATATCTAGTGTAACTGGTCAGTAAATGTCAGCTGCTGTCCTATAAAAATTGTGCATACAATACAATAGGACAAGCAATATGTCTTGTGATGTGCTGGTGGGAAACAGCTTCGTTTGAATCTTATTTTATTATAAAATGTCATCAAAGCATTGTACAAAGGATAGACAAAATGTATAACACATAGATGCCATTACAATTCTAGGAAAGTTGAAAAAAGAGCTGATGAAGACCTTGCTGGTACAAGTTTACAAGCTGGAGGAAGTGGAACATTGTTACGCCAAGATAATATGTAAAATATAAAAAATGGAAGCTATATTGTCAGTTATCTATTCTCGGTATATACTGAGTATATACTCAGAGTATTGACACAAATAATGGGGGTCAGGGGGAAGACAATAGGTCCCTTATTGTAAGTTAGGGTCCCCACCCACTGTTCATAAGTGGAGGGCTGGGGGGGAGGACAATAGGTCTTGCCCCCATTGTAATTAAGGGACCCCATCTGCTGCTCATGGATGGGGGGCCGAGGGGAGAACAATAGGTCTCCTCCCCATTATCACTTACGGCCCCCACCCGCCGCTCATGGGTGGGGGCCGGAGGGGCTTTTATGGGTTTTTCACAGTAAGCAGTCACAGGCTACTCATGAGATTTCAATCTCCCTTATGCTAATATGGGGGTCATATTGACCCCCCATAGAGTTAAGGAGGTTAAGGAGGACATGCTTAGGTTAAGGAGGAGGGGCTTAGGAAGTAGCGGGGAGCACAGCTCCCTGACGCTTCTATCTTTATATATTACAAGGAGGTAGCTCCCTCCTTGTAATAAACTGAACGAACGAACAAACGAACACCAATATTCAATGTTTGTTTGTTCTTCTGACATTTCTATTCATTCATTCGTCTTTCTGACGAATTAATGAATAGACGAAATTCCCGTCCGATTTTCAGACAATAGCGAATGCCCAAGTGTTTAACTGGGCATGCATGGGAATTTCACAGCTCTTTCTAGTGTGGGCAGATGACTTGTCCCACAGGGCCTTAATCTACACACACACAAAGATGGCAGCACCCAGGACCTAGGTACGGGCACAAAATAAAGATTTTAAAAAAGTTATATGGGGGGCCTATTGGCATATGGGGTTGACTAGGGGTTAAATAAGATGTAGTCGGGAGTCGGGAGGGGGGTTAAAAATAACGGATGAGGCCATGACAGTGCCACTTTAATGAAAAGAGCAATATGGATGTACTTACATTTCATGGTTTTTTTTTTGTCTTACCTTTTCCCCTAACTTTAATTTGTGGCTTGGTGAATGGTGTCGGGAGCAAGGATTTGGCTTTATTTCTCATGGAAGCTCTGTTTGGAATGGAAATAACCTGTACAAAAAAGATGGTTTGCATCTTTCTCAAAAGGGAACAAATGTTCTCAGTGAGCAGTTCAGAGGTTTTGCTAGGATGTATTTAAACTAGGAGGGGGGGCAAAAGGGTGATAAAACATCAATCCAATTGTCCCCCAAAACAAGGACAGAAGGTGCCTGTAGCAAGTGTGTTAAAAAATGATAAGCTTAGAGTCATGTCTACAAATGCTCACAGTTTAGGGAATAAGTTCAAAATATTCACACAGTAACACGTGTAGGTGTGATTTATAGGCCCCCAGGACAAATTGAAGAGTTAGATAATCTACTAGTTGAGGAAATAGCTAAAATGACAATGAAGGGGGAAGTTATCATCATGGGTGACTTTAATCTTCCTGATGTAAATTGGAAAACAAAAATAGCTGCTTGTGCCAGGAGCACACATATTCTAAACTCCCTACTGGGATTGTCTCTAAAACAAGTCGTTGAGGAGCCAACTCGTAAAGAGGCCATACTAGATTTAGTGTTAACAAATGGAGATTTGGTATCAGATATTACTGTAGGTGAAAGTTTAGGATCCAGTGATCATCAGTCAGTGTGGTTTAATATAAGAACAGTGACTGAGTCACATCACACAAAAACAAAAGTTTTAGACTTTAGAAAAACAGACTTTTCTAAAATTAGAATATGTGTAGAGGAGTCATTATCAGACTGGAGCAATTTAAATGGAGTCCAAGAGAAATGGGATTATTTAAAAGTTGCACTATTGAAGGCAACAGAAAATTGCATTAGGCTTGTCAGTAAAAGCAAAAAATTCAAGAAACCACTGTGGTACTCCGCAGATGTGGCCAAAATAGTTAAAAACAAAAAGTTAGCATTTAGTAATTATAAAAAAAACAGAGTGAGGAAGACAAAATGATCTATAAGATTAGGCAGAAAGAGGCTAAGCAAGTTATAAGAGCTTCCAAATCACACACAGAAGAGAAAATAGCACAGTCAGTAAAAAAGGGGGACAAAACTTTTTTTAGATACATAAATGAGAAAAGAAAAGAAAAACAAGGATTAGTTACATTAAAAACAAAAGAAGGAAGGTATGTATAAGAGGATAAAGGTCTAGGTGACTGCCTCAATGAATATTTTTGTTCTGTATTTACAGATGAAAATGAAGGAAAGGGACCTCAGTTAAGAAAAAGGATAAATGAGTAATTTATTACACGTGAGTTTACAGAGGAAGAGGTTCTATTTCAACTGTCAAAAGTAAAGACAAATAAGTCAATGGGACCTGATGGAATACACCCAAAGCTATTAAAAGAGCTTAGTGGTGTACTAGCAAAACCATTAACAGATTTATTTAACCAATCATTGTTAACAGGAGTAGTCCCAGAAGATTGGAATTTAGCGAATGTTGTGCCCATTTACAAGAAAGGTAATAGGGAGGAGTCGGGCAACTATAGGCCAGTAAGCCTTACTTCAGTAGTGGGGAAAGTGATGGAAACCATGTTAAAGGATAGGATTGATGAACATCTAAAAACACATGGATTTCAAGATCAGAGACAACATGGGTTTACTTCAGGGAGATCATGCCAAACTAATCTTATTGATTTTTTTGATTGGGTAACTAAAATTATAGATCAGGGTGGTGCAGTAGACATTGCTTACCTAGATTTCAGTAAGGCTTTTGACACTGTTGCACATAGAAGGCTTATCAATAAACTGCAATCTTTAAGTTTGGATTCCAATATTGTTGAATGGGTAAGGCAGTGGCTGAGTGACAGGCAACAGAGGGTTGTAGTTAATGGAATATATTCAAAGCTTGGACTTGTCACCAGTGGGGTACCTCAGGGATCTGTACTTGGACCCATTCTCTTTAATATTATTATTAGTGATATTGCAGAAGGTCTTGATGGTAAGGTATGTATTTTTGCTGATGATACTAAGATATGTAACAGGGTTGATGTTCCAGGAGGGATAAGCCAAATGGCAAATGATTTAGGTAAACTAGAAAAATGGTCAGAATTGTGGCAACTGACATTTAATGTGGATAAGTGCAAGATAATGCATCTTGGACGTAAAAACCCAAGGGCAGAGTACAGAATATTTGATAGAGTCCTAACCTCAACATCTGAGGAAAGGGATTTAGGGGTGATTATTTCTGATGACTTAAAGGTAGGCAGACAATGTAATAGAGCAGCAGGAAATGCTAGCAGTATGCTTGGTTGTATAGGGAGAGGTATTAGCAGTAGAAAGAGGGAAGTGCTCATGCCACTGTACATAACACTGGTGAGACCTCACTTGGAGTATTGTACACAGTACTGGAGACCGTATCTTCAGAAGGATATTGATACCTTAGAGAGGGTTCAGAGAAGGGCTACTAAACTGGTTCATGGATTGCAGGATAAAACATACCAGGAAAGGTTAAAGGATCTTAACATGTATAGGTTGGAGGAAAGACGAGACGGGGGGATATGATAGAAACATTTAAATACATAAAGGGAATTAACACAGTAAAGGAGGAGACTATATTTAAAAGAAGAAAAACTACCACAAGAGGACATAGTCTTAAATTAGAGGGACAAAGGTTTAAAATAATATCAGGAAGTATTACTTTACTGAGAGGGTAGTGGATGCATGGAATAGCCTTCCAGCTGAAGTGGTAGAGGTTAACACAGTAAAGGAGTTTAAGCATGCGTGGGATAGGCATAAGGCTATCCTAACTATAAGATAAGGCCAGGGACTAATGAAAGTATTTAGAAAATTGGACAGATTTCAATACTCTCATAACCACACTCTCCCACGAACCCAAACGACTATTTCACACTAGTGATGTCCCGAACGGTTCGCTGGCGAATAGTTCCCGGCGAGCATAGCGTGTTCGCGTTCGCCAAAGATGGCGAACATATGCGATGTTCGGTCCGCCCCCTATTAATTTACTAATGCTAAGTAAAAATTACTTAGTATTAGTAAATTGTGCCCCTACTCGCAATACCGCGAGTAGGGG